TGCTAACAGCTCCATCACTAAAGAACTTGTGTGTCTGAAGGCACTTGGCCCTGTATGTATATCCTCACCTCATTTCCTAAAGGTGTTCTTGGCATTTTACCTCCTGAGGCCTCAATGCCCCTGGGAGATGGAGCAGGGGAGCTGATTTTGGGAGATGGAGCAGGGGAGCCGATGGCGCTGGGGGAAATGGAGCAGGGGAGCCAATGGCACTGGGGGAGATGGAGCAGGGTAGCGGATGGTGCTGGCGGCCATCTGCCCCATTGACCTTTGGAAACAGGGTGTTTGACAATGAAATTCAGTCCGGGATCTCGAGATCACACTGGGTTTGGGATGGGTCCTGAGTCCCATGGTCCGTGGCCTTTGAAGAAGGCCTGACACAGATATGCGTGCTCTCTGGCAGGGTCTTGGGAATCCCCAGGGTAGTGGATCCGAACGCTGACCCCTGGTGACTGTTCAACGTGGGATGACCTTCTCCCCGTTAATTCCCATCCCTTTGAGTTGCTTATCATGCCCTTCATTTAACAGAAATTCACTCATTCATTTATTTACTCACTAGAGGCCCAATGCACGAAATGCGTGCAAGGGTAGGCCTTCCTCCCCCAGCTGTCGTCATCAGCTTCCCTCGCAGTTTCATCCAAAAGGACATCCAGTCTCGTTAGCATATTACGCTTTTATTATTACAAATTTATAAAATCTTTATTGTTGAAAGTATTTCATATATTCCCTTTTCCCCACTGACCCCTTCTAGCCCACCCTCACTCCCACCCCTGCCCTCACCACTCTATAGTCTGTGCCCATGGGCCATGCATGTGCACACATGGTCTTTGGCTGATCACCTTCCGCCCACCACCCTCCCTCCCAGCTTTCCCTCCAAGGTTCCACACTCTGCTCCCTGGATCCATTCTCTTCATCAGTTTATTTTGTTCATTAGGTTCCACCTATGAGTGAGATCCTGGGATACTTGTCTTTCTCTGATTGGCTTATGTCACCTAGCATGACACTCCCAGGTCCCTCCATGCTGTCCTGAAGGGTAAGAGATTCTTTTTTTATTTATTGCGGCACAGTGTTCCGTGGTGCAGATGGACCAAGCATTTCTCCACGCGTCTGTGGATGGGCCCTGGGGTTGTGTCCAGATCTTAGCTATTTAACAGACATTCCTGTTTCCCACGATCGAGTCAGTCAGCACCGCCCCTCAGGCTTGTGCCTCTGGAGGTTGGAGGACTGGGCAGCCAGGGTCCGAGTCCCCTGTGGCTCCCCCCACAACGTGGTGCCATAAGCCACAGGAGTGAGTTCCCACGCATCTGAAGCCCCAGTCAGCCGGGGTGTGAGTGTGGGGGTGGTGCTGCCGGAGGCTCCGGGGTCTGGGGCTGGACACCACCCTGGCTTCCGCCTTTGTCTGACCTCCTCCCCGGTGTCTCTGTGTCAAATCTTCCTGTTTGTTTTCTGTTAATCCTCACCCAAGGATATTTTTCTCCATTGAATTTTAGCAAGAGTGGAAGGGTGGGGGAGAGACACACAGAGAGAAACATTGGTGTGAGAGAGACACATCGAATGGCTGCCTCCCACACTTGCCCTGACCAGGACCAGCAATTAAGCCTGCAGCCAAGGTACCTGCCCTCCACTGGAATCCAACCCAGGACCCTTCCGTCCATGGGCTGGAGCCAAGCCCGCCAGGGCTGTCTTTGGAGGTCAGTCATGGGACTGGGTCCCACCCCAAATCTAGTGTGACCCCAAGATCCTGCCCTGAATTCCATTGGCAAAGATCCCATTTCCAAAAGACTCAGCCAGGCAGGCAGCTGCCTGCCCCAGCATCAGCCAAAGTGAGCAGGAATTCTCCAAGCATTCCCACGCTCCCCCACAATTCCCCACGCATTCCCATGCCCCTCCACAATTCCCCACGCGTTCCCACAATTCCCTACATTCCCACACTCCTCCACAACCCCCCATGCGCTCCCGCACAATTCCCCATGCGCTCCCACAATTCCCTACGTTCCCATGCTCCCCCACAATCCCCCACACGTTCCCACGCTCCTCCATATTCCCCACGCGTTCCCACAATTTTCTATGATCCCACGCTCCCCAACCATTCCTCAGGCGTGCCCACGCTCCCCCACAATCCCTCACACGTGCCCACGCTCCCCCACAATCCCCCACGCATTCCCACAATTCCCCCACAATTCCGCACGCGTTCCCACGCTCTCCCACAATTTCCCACGCGCTCCCACCGCCTGATAAGCCGCAAGCACAGCCCACCAAGTCCTCCTTAGCAGCAGGAGTGAGGGCCTGTGGTCTGTGCACAGAACATGCTTTTACTTTTAGTCTTCACAGAGGGTGCCTTTTCATTGGCTTCAGGGAGGGAGGGGGGAGGGAAACATCTATGGCATGGTGCCTCTCTCAGTCACCTAGGCTGACCCTGAAGCTGGGCTGTGCCCTAGGGAACTGAGCCTGTCCTCTCCCCCAGGGCCTCCTCCCACCCACAGTGTGTGTGTCCTTGCTGGGAGGGGCGGGGGGTCCCCACAGCTTCGAACCCCTGCCTTGTTCTCAGACCTTGTCTCCAAGACAGACACAGGAAACCAACCAGCGGGAAGTTTGACAGGAACCAGGCAGGTGGGAGGCACAGCCACCAGTCCTGCTGACACTGTGACACTCCCGCCTTTATTCTGACCCCCTCCCCCTGACCCGTCCCCCTGCACTGCCCCCGCCCTGACCCCCTCCCCTCTGACCCGTCCCCCTGCACTGCCCTCCTCTGCCCCTTACCCCCGCCCTATCCCGTGCCTCCTGCCCTGACCCCCTCCCCTCTGACCCGTCCCCCTGCACTGCCCTCGCCCTGACCCTCTCCCCTCTGACCCGTCCCCCTGCACTGCCCTCCTCTGCCCCTTACCCCCGCCCTATCCCGTGCCTCCCGCCCTGACCCCCTCCCCTCTGACCCGTCCCCCTGCACTGCCCCCGCCCTGACCCTCTCCCCTCTGACCCGTCCCCCTGCACTGCCCTCCTCTGCCCCTTACCCCCGCCCTATCCCGTGCCTCCTGCCCTGACCCCTTCCCCTCTGACCCGTCCCCCTGCACTGCCCTCCCCTGCTCCATGCCCCCGCCTTGACCCCCTCCCTCTGCCCCGTCCCCCTGCACTGCCCCCGCCCTGACCCTCTCCCCTCTGACCTGTCCCCCTGCACTGCGCCCCCTGCCCCGTGCCCCCTCCCTAACACCCTCCCCTCTGACCTGTCCCACCTTTACTGCTCCCCTCTGCCCCATGCCCCCTGCCCTGACTCCCTCCTCTCTGACCCATCCCCCCACCCTGCCCCCCTTTACTCTGACCCATCCCCCTGCACTGCCCCCCTCTGCCCCGTGCCCCCACCCTGACCCCCTCCCCTTTGACCTGCCCCCCTGCACTGCCCAGGCTGGTCCTGGGAGAGGGCCACAGGGCTCCTGGGAGAGGGCCGCAGGGCTCCTGGGAGAGGGCCGCATGGGCTCCTGGGAGAGGGCCACAGGGCTCCTGGGAGAGGGCCGCATGGGCTTCTGGGAAATAGCCGCTGGGGCTCCTGAGCGGAGGCCACGCGAGTGTGGGAGGCGTGGGCTGTGCTCTCCTGAGTGCTCAGGGTGCAGGCACCAGCAGGAGGGCAGGAGCTGCTGGGTGCATGGAGGGGGCCTCCAGGGAAGGAGTGGCACCGGAGAAAGGGGGGACACCGGAGAAGGGGGGGCGGAGAAGGGGGGGCACTGAGAAGGGGGCCCCAGAGAAGGGGGGCACCGGAGAAGGGGCCTAAACAAAGGCTCCGGCATGCGGAGCCCAGTGGTTGGTGCCCGAGTATGTGTGGGGGGGGCTCCTGTGTGTGTTTGTGTGTATGTGAGGACCTGTGTGTGCGAGGACTTGTGTGTTTGTGTATTGTTTGAGGACACATGTGTGCGTGGACCAATGTGTGTATGTGTTCATGTGTGTGTGCATGTGCATGTGCACAAGGACCCGTGTGTGTGTGCCTTAGTGTGCATGTTTTCATCTGTGTATGTGAGATTCTATGTGTGCATGTGTGTGAGGTCCAGTGTGTGCTTGTGTGCTTGTGTGTGCGTGCAAGATGCAGCCAATGATTTTCTTTTGTTGTCGATGTTTTTATATCTCTCTCCCTCTCCCTCTCCAAAATCAATAATAAAAACAAAGCTTAAAAAGAAGAAGAAAGAAGAGGAGATGGCACATAAACACACAGAGAACCCATGGAAGATGGCCGTCCACATGCCCAGGAGAGAGGCCTCGGGCCGCAGCGCCTGCCCTGGGACTCGGGCTCCAGCACGGGGAGAATCTCTGGGAGCTGCTCCACTTCCTGTGGGTGCTGACTGACCCCCAAACAGCGTCTTGTTTCTGGCCACGGCCACAGCCAGTCCTGCCCCAGGCCCCGACGCCCGTGTGGCTCCCATCACCCCCTGGTCTCTGGGCTGCCTTCCTCGCCCTCTGGGCTGGATGCCGCCTGAATCGGGGGAGGAGGTAGAGGGGGGCAAGTCGTGATGCTGGGAGAGGGTGCCCTCCCCACCCTCCCTGTACACCTCTGCTGGCTGTGGTCTCACCAGGCGGCAGCACAAGGAGATCCTGAGAGGCATGGATGTTTAAGGAGCCTTTATTGTCCTTAAACACACACACCACACACACCAGTGGAGGCAATGGACGGGCTCCAGGAAATTAAACAGAAAACAAAAAGCGGCCCAAGCTACAAGGTGCGTTTCCTGGGAATCATCTCTCTGCGCATCCCGTGTCACGGGGCCCATGTCCCCGTCCTTCCCAGCGGGACGGTGCTCCCTGGGGCTCGGGACATCTGTCTGCCTGCCGGTCCCCAAGGCAAGTGGCATTCTGTTCAGTGCTTTTGGCTCTCAGCCCCCCTCCCCAGAGCAGGGGCTCCCTGGGAGGGCGAGGGGGTGGGAGTCAGGCCTGGGCTCCCACATGGGCCCTCCAGGCAAGCTACACCTCCACATGCACCTCCTGCCTCTGTCCACAGAGGCAGGGTTCCACTTGCTGGGACTTGGTCACCAGGCTCCACGCCAAGAGGCTTGCAGGCCAGTGCCCACCCACCTGCCTGGTACCATCCTGCCCCCGGGGCCCGCAGCAGCCCTGCTCAGAGAGTGTGCTCTGGTGGAGGCAGCTGAGCAACCGTCAGGGCCCAGGTGGAGCTTCCCTGGGGGGATTTGGCACCTCCCGAGAGCACTGCCTCCTGCTCCTGCCCACACGACCCAGGGTGGCATCAGTGGCCGTGTGGAGGGCGGGTGGGCATCTGTCAGCTCAGGTTGGAGGAGGACCTGCTGTCCACTTGGTTCTCCAAAGGGGCAGGTCCCAGGCGGAACGCAGCCTGTGGTGGCCATGAGTGCATATCCAGGGAGGCCTGGAGTCAAAGGGTGGAGAGGTCAGAGGGCAGCGAGGTCAGAGGGCAGAGGAGCAGGTGTTGCAGCAGGTGGAGCAGGTGAACCGGCAGCCGGCTCTGCTGGGAGGGCCGCTAAGCCCCTTGTCCGATCATGTTCCGGTAGTCCGGGGCAATGGTCCTCTTCAGGTCGGCCACCGAGGAGAAGATCCACTTCACCTGGGGGTGGGGGGCAGGGGGAGAGGGCCAGTCAGCCTCTGTGGGCCGGGCCAGCTGGGCCAGCGGGGGACGGTCTGGGGCGGTGAGGGACAAGTGAGAACATTGAGGGACAGTGAGGGCACTGCGAAGGGTGTGTGGGGTGCGTAGGGTGTGTGGGGCGCGTGGACACGGCGTGAGGTATGTGGACACGGCATAGGGTACGTGGCAATAGCATGGGCACAGCATGAGGTGTGTGGGGCATGTGGACACGGTGTGGGGCGCGTGGACACGGCGTGGGGTGTGTGGCAATAGCATGAGCACAGCATGGGGTGTGTGGGGCGCGTGGACACGGCGTGAGGTATGTGGACACGGCATAGGGTACGTGGCAATAGCATGGGCACAGCATGAGGTGTGTGGGGCATGTGGACACAGTGTGGGGCGCGTGGACACGGCGTGGGGTGTGTGGCAATAGCATGGGCACAGCATGGGGTGTGTGGGGCACGTGGACACGGCATGAGGTATGTGGACACGGCATAGGGTACGTGGCAATAGCATGGGCACAGCATGAGGTGTGTGGGGCGCGTGGACACGGTGTGGGGCGCGTGGACACGGCGTGGGGTGTGTGGCAATAGCATGGGCACAGCATGGGGTGTGGGGCACATGGGGTGTGTGGGGCGTGTGGACCCGGCATGGAGTGCATGCGTGGCGATAGCGTTGGCATGCGGGGCGTGGGGCGTGCGTGGGCACGTGGGCATGGATGGAGCGTGTGGGGCTGTGGGAGCCCACCTTAAAGAGTGTGACGGTGGCACTGTAGCACACGCTGAGCAGAAAGAGGGTGATGAAGATGGAGATGGTGGTCCACAGCCCGTCCAGCTCCCCATCCTGGGCCTCGGCACAGCTCTCGTCCAGGAGCAGCTCTGCGCAGGGAGGGGGGTCAGTGCGGGGCCGTGGGGGCTGGTGGTCTGTGGCTGGCACAGGGGCTCCCAGTGAACGGGGACTGGCCAGGTGGGGCCCGGGGTGCCCGGCTCCCCAACCCTCTGCCTCAGACCCTGGTCTCAGCCTGGCTGGGCTGCCCCCTCCTCTCGCCACGCACATGGGGCCTTGGGGAACAAGGTGGGCTGACCCACCGTCCAGCCTGCTCTCACGTCCACCTGCCGCTCTGCCTGCTCCCCCTGGGGTCCGAAGGCAAGAGGGCCCGGCCTGGAGATGGGCCAGCGCCAGGTCTGCGCTGGGAGTGGACAGGTGGGTGGCCTGAGGCCAGTGGGTGTGTGGGGAGGACGTCTGTGTGTGGGGGAGGGTGTGTGGGGAGGATTTCTGTGGAGGAGGAGGGTGTGTGGGGAGGACTTCTGTGTGTGTGACAGGGTGTGTGGGGAGGACTTCTGTGTGTGGGGAAGGGTGTAGAGGCCACGGTAGGGGGAGGGGTGTCAGTGTGGGATGAGCTGCTGAGTGACCCTGGGGTATTGGGGGGGGGGGGGGCAGGCTGGTTTCCATGGTGCGGTTCCCAGGACCCACTGTGTTCTCTGGTCTGGGCCAGTGCAGGGTGCCTCGTGGGAGGTCCGCAGTGCAAGGCCTGTCTCTGTGTGCATACATGTGTACACATGTGTGCCTGTATGCACCCACGCACATTCATGTGCATTCATGACTGTGTGTGTCTCTGTGTGCATGTGCGTGTGTATTCGTGTGTGTGTATGAAGGTGACCACATGTGCTAGTGCTGGTCTGTGCGAGTGCCTTGCTTTCCATGGCCCTGGCTCAGTGTCCCTGTGGCCTCTGGACACGGCCCTACCTGGGACCCAAGGCTGCCCTCCTTTGCCTCTTTGGGGCAACCCAGTGAGTGTCCTCATGAGCAGACAGCCTGGCCCAGGCTGGATGTGGCCCACAGAGGGAATGTGGGGGCTTGGTCTCGAGGACACGCAGGGCCTGTCCCACCCCATGGCCCGGTGTGCTCCTGTGCGGGCACAGAGCCATGTCTGGGAGCCCTGGGGGCCAGTGCACAGGGCACCCTGGAGCCAGGCCCTGCTCACAGGGGGGCTTGCTCAGAAGCGGGCACCCTGTCCCTCCGTCCCTCAGGGGCATCTCCTGTCCCGTCCACATCTCCCGACCGAGTTCTCGCCGGCTGGAGGTGGGGGGTGTGGGTGAGGAGTGGCTCTGTGGGGAGGCCATCCCACCCTGGTGCCTGCAGGCCCACCAGCTCTGGGTACCTCCCAGCGGTGCCGACCTGCCCTCTGCCCCGAAAGAACACAACAGTGTTGCTGGCTCGCTCGCAGAGTCCCAGGGCCGCGCTGGGTGCTTTATTGAAGGCTGGTGCCCGGGGGTGTGGCGGGGCGCCAGGTGCCACTCAGTTACCCAAGCTCCGGGAGATGGTCTTCTGGGTGTAGTGGTTGTGCAGGGCCTCGTGCATAACCTCGCACGTGAAGGACTCGCCTCGCTGCCACCGCGCCTTGTCCACGGAGAGCTTGCTGTACAGGAAGAAGGCGCCCTCCTGGTCCTTCTGGGGCGGGGTCGAGGAGTACTTGCTCTCTGGCTCCGGTTCCCCGTTGCTCTGCCACTCCACGCTGATGTCCGGCGGGAAGAAGTCCTTGACCAGGCAGGTCACGCTGACCTTGTCCTTGGCCATCTCGTCCACGTGAGGGCTCAGGACGTACACCTGCGGCCCCCGGACCTGCCCTGTGGGACGGGGTCAGCACAGACGGTCACTCTCGGGTGGAGGCCTGGCCCCCTAGCCCCGGCCCCGGTCCCCCCTGTCTGCTCCTCACCTGTGGCCTTGGAGATGGTCCTCTCGATGGGGGCCGGGATGGCATTGTTGTTGACCTTGCACTTGAACTCCTTGGCCTTCAGCCAGTCCTGGTGTGCGATGGCCAGGGAGTTGACCACGCGGTAGGTGCTGTTGAACTGCTGCTGCTGCGCTGTCATCTTCTCCTTCTTCATCTCTTTGTCATCCATGAACCAGGTGAATTCGACGTCCAGGTCTTCCGGGGCCACGTCCACCACCAGGCACGTGACCTCCGGCGTCCGGGAGATCATGAGGGTGTCCTTGGGTTTCGGGGGGAAGATGAAGACCGAGGGCCCTCCCAGGATCTCACAAGCTGGGGGGAGACAGTGGCCAGGGGTCAGCCCTGGGCTGGCCTCCCCTGGGCAGGCACTCCCCATGGCCTCCTCCTGGGGTGGTGTACTCACGTGGGCACGTGCAGGGGGCTGCAGTGGTACAGACTTCTCTAATTGCGGGCACTGCAGAGAGAGCAGGCTGGAGGTTACCGGGGCCCCGGAGGGCACGATCCTGGGGGTGGGCTTAGGTCAGGGCCAGAGTTTGGCAGGTCTAAGACCATACTGCCCCTGTGGCTCCAGAGTCTGTGCCTGTCCCAGGCCTGGTGGTGATACCCAGAGGACCCCTCCCCGAGTTTGGGGAGCCCGTCCTCCCCCCCACTGCCCTGGGCTGGGGCAGCCATCCCTGCTCTGTGGTTTGTCTCCGGGGCTGGGTGCTCACCTGTTGTGATCACCTTGGTGCTGCTGGCCGGATGGGCCACGTTGCAGGTGAAGGTCTGGCCGGACGAGCTGGTGGGCACGGTCACCATGCTGCTCAGGGAGTAGAGGCCCGCGCGGAGGATGGATGGGAAGGTGTGCACCCCACTGGTCAGGGCGCCCGAGTTCCAGGACACAGTCACGGGCTCTGGGAAGTAGCCAGAGACCAGGCAGCCCAGAGACACCATGGAGCCGGACGTGGTGCCACATTTGGACAGCGGGAAGACCGACGGGGTCGTGGTGGAGGCTGTAAGAGAGGGGCCACATGACTGCCAGGTCTCACCCTACCGAAGCCTGGGCAGGGCCCCTGGAGCCCAGGCCTGGGACGGCGCTGAGCCCCGTGCCCGTGGCCCACGAGTTCCCAGAAGCCCGCAGACCGGCTGCCCAGCTCAGCTCTGCCACCCAGGGCTTCCTGTCTCTCAGCCACAGGCGCCAGGCTCAGCAGCTCAGCCAGCACTGCCTGGGCTGGAGCCCCCGCCCCAGCCCCTGGTCCTCGCTAGCCTCAGAACCCTAACTGGTGGCTCTTGCTCTGCCTGGCTCCCATGGTCCCTGAGCCCACTGACCTGTTTCCCTGCCTGGTCCTGCCCTGGCGAGGAGTCCCTTCCTCGGCCCACAGCCCCTACCCTTCTGGGTCAGCGCTGCAGCTGAAGCATGCCTGGTCCCCACCCCAGCCTGGAGACCCTCCGTGGGGGCGTCCCCCCTCCTCCCTGCAGCCCCCCAGCCCAGGCTGTGCCTCTGTACCCAGCAGTCTTGCAAGCTCATCCCTCCCCCTGGCACTGCCCCCTCGCTGCCCCAGCTCCTGCCTGTCCAGAGCCCTCCTGCCAGGTCCTTCCTCAGTTCCCACTCAGCATGGCTTGGAGCCTGGCGCTGGCCTTGGCAGCCTTCTGCATGGTGTCAATGTCCCCAACCCCTGCGTGGCCCCATCAGCTCAGCCTCAGGGCCCTGCCCCACTGTCTCTCCTCCCCAACTCCCACCCCCATGCTCAACCCCCACCTCGCCCTGGAATCCTTTAGCTCAGGCCCTGCCTTAGCCCTGAGCTATGTCCCAGCTCCGCTGGACAAACTGCCTGCTACTCAGGGCTCCCAGCCCAGCGGCTGCCACGCTCAGTGCCCTGCAGGGTTACCCCCTCCAACTGCTCCCCACAAGCCTTCCCTGAACCCCAATCCCCACCAAGCCTCGTCCTGGGCCTTCAGAGGAGCTCAGGCCTCTGTCCTCCGGTCTCTGCCTTTGCCCATCTGAATCTCATTTCTGCCTGCTCTGTCCCAGCCCTGCCCTGGGCCTCAGCCCCCTGACCTGGGCAGGCCCTTGGGCTCAGGCCAGGGTTGCTGTGTCCTCCCCTGACTTGCCCCTGCCCCACTTCCTTCCCCTTTTCACTGAAGCCCCTGGCCAACAACCCCCTCTGCCAAATGCCCTATGATCCCGCTCTACCTACCTGCTTACCGCAGTGCTTTTGTCTCGTGGATCCTGGGCAGCTCCTGCCCTCCCAGCAGTCCCTGCTCACTGCATAGCTGTGCAAGCTCCCACCCAGCTCCCACCCAGCTCCCACCAGCCCCTGATCACCTGCATAGCTCTGCCAGCTCCCACCTAGCTCCTGCCCTCCCACCAGCATCCTGCCTTCTCACCGACCCCCTGCTCACCTCCATAGCTCTACCAGCTCCCACCCAGCTCCCACCCAGCTCCTGCCCTCCCACCTGCCCCTGCTCACCTCCATAGCTCTGCCAGCTCCCACCCAGCTCCCTGCCCTCCCACCTGCCCCTGCTCACCTGCATAGCTCTGCCAGCTCCCACCCAGCTCCTGCCCTCCCACCTGCCCCTGCTCACCTGCATAGCTCTGCCAGTTCCCACCCAGCTCCCACCCAGCTCCTGCCCTTCCACTTGCCCCCTGCTCACCTGCCAGGTCTCACCCAGCTCCCACCCACCTCCCTGCCCTCCCACCTGCCCCTGCTCACCTGCATAGCTCTGCCAGCTCCCACCCAGCTCCCTGCCCTCCCACAGGCCCCTGCTCACCTGCATAGCTCTGCCAGCTCCCACCCAGCTCCCTGCCCTCCCACCTGCCCCTGCTCACCTGCATAGCTCTGCCAGTTCCCACCCAGTTCCCACCCAGCTCCTGCCCTTCCACTTGCCCCCTGCTCACCTGCATAGCTCTGCCAGCTTCTACCCAGCTCCCACCCAGCTCCTGCCCTCCCACCTGCCCTTGGTCACCTGCATAGCTCTGCCAGCTCCCACCCAGTTCTCACTCAGCTCCTGCCCTTCCACCTGCCCCCTGCTCACTGCATAGCTCTGCCAGTTCTCACCCAGGTCCCTGCCCTCCCACTAGCCGTGCTCACCTGCATAGCTCTGCCAGCTCCCACCCAGCTCCCTGCCCTCCCACTGGCCCCTGCTCACCTGCATAGCTCTACCAGCTCCCACCCAGCTCCCATCCAGCTCCCATCCAGCTCCCACCCAGCTCTCACCCAGCTCCTGCCCTCCCACCAACCCCTACTCATCCTCATAGTTCTGCCAGCTCCCGGCCAGCTCCTGCCCTCCCACCAGCCCCTGCTCACATCCATAGCTCTGCCAGCTTCCACCCAGTTCTCACCCATCTCCTGCCCTCTCACTTGCCCCCTGCTCACCTGCATAGCTCTGCCGGACCCAGCTCTCACCCAGCTCCTGGGCAGCTCCCTGCCCTCCCACAGGCCCCTGCTCACCTACAGTTGTTGTCCATAAAGTTCCCGACCTGCCGTAGTTCCTGCCCATTCTTCCCTAAGATCCTTTCCCTACAGGTCAATGTTCCACCTGTGCTGTGTCTGCCCACAGCTGCCGCAGGGTCTCCTGCCAAGCCCAGAGCCTCAGCCCAGTAGCCCACTCCTGGTCTCATTCCTTCCCGGCCGAACTGGGCTTTGCTCCTGGAGCCTCCAGCCACCCGCCCTCTCTCCTACAGCCTCTGTCCACCCTGTCCTCCCCCAGAGCAGGCCCCTCCTCACTCCCCACTGGGAGACACTCTGGACCTTTACTCTTTCCAATTGCTGGTCAGCTGACCTGTGCCTGGCAGCTGCTGGCACTGAGCTCTGAACCCTGCCACCTGCCCACCCAAGGAGCTGCCCACTGAGCCTGCCCTCTGGGCACAGGAGCCCACATCCACCTTTCCGCTGGGCCCCACCATTGGCTGCTCTCAGCCCTGGGCCCCCTGGTCTCAGCCTCTGACTCAGCCCATTGGCCTGGACAGGCCCTTAGGCCACCCGAGGTTCCTCTTCCTCTGCCGTACCATGCCAGCCACCCCCCTGTGCCCCCAGCTCCTGCTGTGGCTGCCCCAGCCTTACCCTCTGGCCCAGGCAGCCCTGGGCTCCTGCCCTCCTGCTCGCTACCTTTCTCTCATGCTCTGGCCCAGCCGCTCCTGTCTGTGGGTCCCCAAGGGCCTGGTCTCCCATCATCTCCTGGGGCCAGGTCCACTGTCCTCCTTTGGCCCTGCTCTGTAGGGACCCCACTCACCATGGGCGGGAGCTGTGGAGGCAGTGGCCCTGGCCTGCCTGCTCTTGCCCCTGGTGCATGTGGCTCCTGGTGGCCATGGTTCTGCCCACAGCCCCACATCCTAGGGGTTGGTAGCTGGGCCCCTGAGACGTGAACTACCCCTGCCCCTCCCCCCCACCCCCCGCCCTGTGAAGACTAAGAACGGGATTGAAACTGGTGGTAGCTTCCCGAAGTTCCCTTTTCTCTGGCTGGTTTCTCTCAAGGGGCCTGGGGGAGTCCAGACACAGCACAGGGCCCCTCACACCCATGTGGTGTGAGGCAGGCATCCAGGGCCCAGGGGACAGAATGAGAACCTCCTGTCATGCGCTCTGCCTCTCCCCCCTCCCAATGGGGCCAGGCTCTCCCCGAGGCCCCTGGCTTCCCCAGCCTCAGTGACACTTCACCCTGCCCGGCCAGCGTGGGTGTGGGCACAGGCTTCCAGTCACAGTCTTCAGCCCAGCCCAGGCTCCCCATCCTCCTACGGGCAGCTCCCAGGAGCCAGCTGTCCTCCGGGCCCTGCCTCTGCCCTCCTTTCTTCCCTCTCTGGCTCCATTGTGGCTTAATCATTGATTGGTACATTATGTATAACAAACTAGAGGCCTAGTGCATGAAAATTCATGCAATGGAGGGGGGTTTCTCAGCCCAGCCCGCCCCCTCTCACAGTCCAGGAGACCTCAGGGCAGGAGGCAACCCAGCGATTGGTGAAGGTGACACCCTATCACGCTCTGCTGCTGCCACTGCCAGTAGTGCAAGCCTCTGCTCACCCTGGTTACCTGAGCATTGGGCTGCCCTGGGAGGCTGGGCAGCCACCATTCGAGGCTTGCCTGTGTCTCAGGCCAGCTCTGGGTGACTGGGGGCCTGAGGGGACTGGGGGACTCCGAAGGCAGCCACCCCAGTGGGGCTGAAGGGACTGAGTGCCACCATCTTTGAGGGCATTGCAGTCAATTAATATATTCTCTCTTATTGGCTGTGGGCACTGACATATTTGTGACAGTGTCAGGGTCAATTAGATATCCCCTCTTTATTATTTTTATTTTATTTTATTAATAAATCTTTATTGTTCATATTATTACAAAAGTTCCTCATCCCCCCCTCCATTGCTCCCCTCCACCAGGTTCCCAACCCACCCTCAGCCATTTCCCCAAC